AGAAGCAGGGTTACTGAGTGAATTGCATTCCTGCCATAATGAACTGGATTGCCCCTGGGGGGAAAGGAGGCAGTCTGGGCTTAGAGACGAGGCAGGGCACATGGGATTTCTGAGTATTTAGATCTCACTCAGCCCCTGGTTTGCAGTCTAGCCCTGCACAAGGGAGACTACCTCTCTGTGACTTGGATAAGAAATCCATAGAGATCAACATGCTTTTAAAGGAAAATCCGTATCTTTATCTTCTTAATACAGGTGAAGGAAATGAGGCATTGAGCATGGGGAAGCAATCTGCCTAGAGTTAAAGTAACCGAATAGCCAAACTGACTTCCTGTCTATTGGTTGCCACACCCAAAGTTTCCCTGGTGTCACTCAGAGAGCCAGCTGGGTTCCAGGTGCTTTGCCTACCAGTGAGACTGCAGCATCTGCTGCACCATGTCAGTGCTTAGAACAGAGTAGGCCAGACTAACCTATGTTAAGCTGCTCAGATGCTCAGGCATCTTGTAGACTGGGAATGATGACATGAGCAAGGTCCCAGCTGGGAATTATTGTAGGTGGTGCCAGACAGATGCTGCAGTAAATTCACAATTACTCCCTGGTACTCCCCCTCCCCCTTACCTGTCTGATCTAAGAGTGAGCAAGACCGGTTCTCGTCCATCTCACCCCTGTCTCTCTCATCTGGGCTCCCCAGCAGGGACCTCGGGGGCTCCATTCGGTGGGTCTGAGTTGTATTGTCCCCTTCCTCCATGCTGCCCACCTCCACCTCTGCAGCTGGTGCCTCCGTATCAAAGTTCTCCAAGGCTGGGCACAGTGTAGGCTCCCTCAAGGCAAAAGCATCCTGCACCCAGCTCTCTGTTGCATCTCTGGGGCCAGAAGGCTCTGGGGAAGGCTCATCAAGAAATGATAGCCAGTGGCCCAGTTCTGGGTTGAGTCTCTTGGAGCGCCGGACAGCATAAATGGCACTCTCCTGCTTCCGGCCTGCCTTCCCTGGGGGTGGCTGGGCTGTAGGAACTACATGTTTCCCGGCCTCGTCCTCTGGGCTGCCAGTCTCTTTCTTGGCTTCAGGCTCAGCCTTGGGGCTTTGCCTTAGCTCTGTCTTCTCCACTGGCATTTTGACTTTGGACTTACAGGTCCCTGCAAAGGTGTCAGCTTCCTGAGCAGGAGGTCCTGGAGACCTGGAGCCAGAGGGCCTGGTCCAGGAGGCATACACAGGTTTGCCCAACCTGTATGGCTTGCTTACATCACACGTAATGTCCCTGGACAGTAGCTCCTTCAGGATGGAGAATGAAGAGGTTCTGGGCTTCTGATAGCTGCCTATTTCCCAGGTGCAGGTTGCCCAGCTCTCCTGGCTGCAGTGGGAAGTTGTCTGCAAAGGGCAGTCTGGCTTTGCTCTCTTGTAGGGGCTGTTACAGTGCTGGTGCTTCACATCTGCAGGGTCTCTGATGGGCAGCTTTCTTGGAGGAAGGCAATAGGTGTGCATGTAGCGGATGAGCTCCACCACTGAGTGCATCTCTTTCTCACAGAACTGACTGCTGATGCCATCCTCAGGGGACAGCATCATCACTGTGGCATCACTGGAGCTCAGCGAGTCCTCACTTGTGTCACTGTCATCTTCATTGTGGGCACAGGGATTCTGGGGTACGATACTGCCACTGCTGCCTTGGCGTGTGTCTGGTGGCCAGGTGGCTTTGGTCTGTGGGCAGTGTGTGGTGGAGGTGAGGTGCCTGTGCAGCTCTGTGCAGCTCCGGCTCTGAGCCTGGAGAAACCTTGATTTTCTGTCCCGGAGACCCTCCACCTTCAGAGACATGAGAGAGAAGCTCTGGTGAGGAGACTTGGCTCCAATAAGCTGTTCACCTGCTATACCAACATACTGCATGCAGAAACATGCTGGCTGTGGGCAGAAATCCCACTGTGGACAAATGGTTCCTGTCCAGCTATTGTAATAAGTAGTGTTGAGGGGACATGCACTTAAGGCCCCTGTTTCTTGCAGAGGTAGGGAGAACAAGGCTGTGCTACAGGAATTGGTGCATGTCCCTCACCCCATATGCATACAAACCAGCATGTGGTAAAAACCTGTACGCTGGTGGTGCACACCTGCAAGCGTGTGGACTGTAGACAATGCACATGCTAGCCTCATGCGTGTGAATTAGGTCCCGTTGTTAGAAGGTAGGAAGATGACTCATTTTGGAGAGCAGGTCATATTGCTAAGCCCCCTGTATGGTGAGCAACTGCTGGGGCAGTCACTGGCTGACTGACAACCAACACTGGTTGCACCGAGCATCTCTACTACTGTTTTGAGGAAGTCTAGCACAGGGCCTTCTGACCTGCCCTGCCTTGGCCTCAGCAAAGGCAAGTTCCCAGGCTCAAAGACTTATAAAATACAGAGCCTCTACTAGGATGTTAGGATCAGCTGTGCATCATTAATGTGAGCTGTACTCCCATTAGGAGTACCACCCTCCCCAAGTCAGTTGAACCACATTTTATTAAATCTCAGTGAGGATTCTCAGTTACTAATGGTCTCTTCAACTACTGCAAGGTCACCACTTCTTGTCCCCCAAGAAGGGAATGGGAGTGTGAAGAAAGTGCACTAGCAAGCCCTCTTGTAGCCTCCAGCTGTCTAGGAAGAGTGGAAGAAGGTTGCTTTTCATCTTTGAACAGTACAGAAACGCTCTGAGTGATATCACTGGGATGGTGATACATGCTGAGCAGGGTGGGGAGTGCAGCTGACAAGGAAACAGACTTAGCCTTACAGCGTTGCATTGTCAGTTCATTTTAGTCACACACACAGTGGGTACATGACCTTGTCCTTCCCCAAGATGGGAAGGAACAAGACTGAAACCTAGAAAGCTTTAACTGAAGAGCTCTTTCCCACTGGCTTTGGAAACAATGGGTCTCTATTCCTCCAAAAGACAGGGACAGCATAGTTAGAGGCAAGGGCCCACAACCCACAGATAGCGCCTCTCAGGAGGAGTGGGCTTCATGTCCATTGCCATTCTGTCCGTGCCTTTTCTCTCAAGCAGTGTTGCCTGCAAAGGACCTGTGATCTGAGTGGACTGGAAACCCTCAGCTCATTTCATTCAAGCCACCAGCAGATGGCACTGGCTTTTGCTTTCAGCCAACCTGGGTTGATAAAATTTAAGCCAGCTACTTAGTAGTGAAAGACTTTGTATCCCCAGTATTCATCGATTCAGAGACTGGCAGGGACCTTGGAAGATCATCGGGTCCAGCCCCCTGCACCAGGCAGGAAAGACAACTGGGGTCAGGTGTTGACTCATCTGTTCATCTGTTGTCTCCACCTCTCCTTTGCCCTGCAGCAGAACTAAGATGACAGCTGATCTTGCTGCACTGCCCACCTGACTCTGACGGGTCCACAGGAGGGCAATGACAGCCTAGGTGCCGATTTCACATGCTGGTGACTCTGTTTGAGCCTATGGGTGGACAAGTGAGTTCTCTTCAATCCATTATATTTATGAAAATGGCAAGATGCACTAGTGGAAACCATAAATGACTGGTGCCTCCCAAGACTGGAGGGGCACCATTTGTAGGTGGCAGTACTGGCATCAAGTGGGGACTGCCTGCAGATGTCAGCGGTGGGAGATGGGGGGCAGTGAGCAGGGACCGCCCACAGATACCTGTGGTGATGGCAGCGGGGGCGAGGAGGGTGGCGAGCAGCGACCACCCACAGAAGCCGGTGGCAGTAGCCAATCTCAAGGGGGACATGTGCCCCCGCTTAAGAGTTGCCTATGGTGGAAACTACTAGACCAACTACATAAGGAGGTTATACAGAGGCACAGTCAAATGGCTTCCATCAGACACACCAGATCTCTCTCTAGCTGGCATCTCTGACAAGCTTTTTGTTCAAACCTGAGTCCTTCTCTCATAGCAGAATGATGACCCTAAGCACCAGCAGGAATTTTCTACCTTTCCTAGGCAATCTAAATCCACAGGCGCAATACACTGTGCAATTTTCATTATCCAAGGAGAAAATCTTTGACAGCAACTTCTGTTGGATTTCAGGGGATTAACTGAAATCATTGGTTTGGTCTGCAGTTTTGCATGCCACTGTCCCCAGGCTAAGTCAATTCAATCAATAGCACATTCTGCTATAATTTGTTGGGTGCAAGGGGAGATGTAAGAAATTTTAATAAAACAGAACTCCAGTGAAATGGAAAAGTCTTATGCCCTCAGCCCTCCTGCAAGGACACCCGGGTAGCTGGGATCTCTCCTCAATCCTAATTGTGTTCAACAATTTCCACTGTGATAGACTATTTCCCCTTGCACCCAGCCCTCTCCCTTCCCCTTAAGATTGTGGTGCTGCTGCTCAGGGCTGTTTCCCCACCTACTTCACCCCCATGGCCCATGTTTCGCCCAAGGATATCCCACCCTGAGACTAGTTGATCCGTCCTTGAAGCTACCATTGGAGTGACATGTTTTCTGGAAATCATTAGGGAAAAGAGGATTTGGTTGGGAGATGAGAGGAAAAGTTATTTATAGTTTTTTCCTGCAGGAATGGGGCAGCTAAGGCAGAAAATACCTTAGTGCATGATCGCTGAGGTCTTGATTTGGGGGTCCCATGGCGTCGTGCACTCCCGTCTCTCTGAGCCTCACAGCTTGGAGGCACGTGGGTTGGAGAAAGAAGTAATTTCTTCAGCTGCAAAGAGAAACAGTGAGACAAAGAATCAGCGTTCAAGTGTGAGCAGAGATCACAAGCTAAACTCTACAGCAGGAGTGGGCAAAATGCGGCCCAGGGGCCAGATGTGGCCTGTCAGGCCATTCTATCTGGTCCGTGGGGCCCCTAAAAAATTTAGAAAATTAATATTTATCTGCCCTGGGCTGCCTGTCATGCAGCCCTCAATTGCTTGCCAAAACTCAGTAAGTGGCCCTCTGCCCAAAATAAGTGCCCGCCCCTGCTCTACAGCAAGCATGTGAGTGGGGTTCAGTGATCTCTGCTAGTGAGTAGAGTAGAGTTCACTAAAGCCAAAAGACATGCCATTAGTGTTTTCATGTCTATCCTTGGCTCTTTCTGATCCTGGAGCTGTCAGCTGTAAGGATCAGATTAAAAAGTGGGGAAGAATTTCACACCTTTTAAGTGCTATTTGGCTGCAGATAAAGAACATTGTAGCTGGAGGTGGAGGGGGGGTTACAACCGCAGTACTGAGCACTTTCATTGCTTTAAATCTTCAAAGCACTTGATGAGCATACTCCCTTTTTTGTGGCACTGTCCCCTAAAATGGGAATAAGGAAACACAGACAGAAGAATTTACTTGGCCAAGCCCCCTCTGTATTCTATATCTCAGCAGCTCCTCTCAGAGCCACTGCCACTGCTTTGACTTTAATAACATGGCAAACCAACACTGTCAGGAGACAGAGACTTTGGTTATATGCATGCATGCAAGTTGGGAAGCCTGCATGGATCTCCCTGCAAGGATCATTCAGCTGTAATCATCTGAAAGGGGCTTGGATTAATTAATTAGCTCACAAAGTGTTTTGAAGAAGTAAAGCTCTGTGTAAATGCCAAGTGTTCACTGGGGATCTCACCCAAGACAGTCCTGCTCAGAATTCACCATAATCCCATCAAGCTGGAATTTCCTGAGCTCAGATAGGGCACAGTTACTGCAGATCACAGGGTCAAAATACTTTTTCTTTTCAAAACCTTTTTTTTTTTTGGTAAACATTTCATATTCCACACGCATCGTGCTAGCACTGAAGGCAACAACAGATCAATAGCAAGACGACTGCGTAGGCTCTGCAGAAATGTACAGAAATGACATATCTGGGGCTTGGTCTTCAAAGCTGGCTTCCAAAGTTGAAGACCCTTTTAAAAATCAGGACTGTGTTACTGAATGAAGAGGTTGTTGCATCAGGGCTCCTGCTTTTTGTTGCGTTCTGCAGTGAAATTTCAGTAGAGGTGCCCCATAGCTTCAGCATGCATCTCCCCTTTAGCTGCAAATGTTCAGTACTTCCCCCCTGCAACGTATACATCCTATATATACACATACATATTGTGTGTGATATATACACTCCCCGACAAGCGCACTTTGGCGTGAAGCGGAAATGCACACTTTCATCACTAGATGGCGCTATGCACTTTTATAAAAGTGCCATATCTTAATGCACAGCAGAGAGATGGGGTGTCCCCATCAGACAAGTGTTCCAGCTGGTGAATCTGCTCCAGGAGCAGCTTGGCTCTCTATAACAGACCAGCCACGACCACCAGAAAACCTGGGAGGAAAGCCCATGCCCTGCTGTTAATGGCTCCAGAGCAGCCGGGGTCCAAGAAGTGGAAGTATCAACTCAGGATTTTTCATGGACCAAATGAGAGGCAGGGCAGGCTTGTAAAAGCTGGAGCCTGGTCAGTGGTGCATGGAAAATGGCACAGCCCTGGCTGAGGGAGAACAGGTCCTGGGAAGAACAGAAGGGCAGGTAGATGAGATAATCTGCATCCTTCCTTCCCCTGCCCCATGGAGGGTGGAAAATCTTAAAGGAAGGTTGTGGAACTGAGGCCCCAGATAAGAGGCACAGCCTGGGATTACAGTCAGGTCAGGGCCTGACTTTCCAGCAGAAGACCTTTCAAAGCAGAGCAGCATTGGCTGCCTGTCAGCACCTGCTTTGAGAGAAACTGAGTGGCACCAACCTAGCAATGACTCTGGGGGGACGGATTTGGCTGTGTCCTGCCTCCAGTCACTATAGGGGACTGGCTGCAATGCCAGGAAGCCCTTGGATGGGCAGCATGGAGCCAAAATGAGAACTGTTACCCCAAATAGAGTGGAGTTTAGCTAAGAGTGGGGCCTCTTGAGGTGGGACTTCTGGGATCACCCTCATTTTATTCCACCCCTGATGACCCCTCATCTGCCCCCGTTTACACACAGCAGAAATCAGCTTGTTCCAATGAGAATGGTGATGAAGGTGACAGCAATGGTGCGGCATATGTATACGTATACAATACAGGTATATATGCTTTGTATTGACGGTTAAGAGTTTTAAGCCTATAATGAAAAAATTCAGACCTTTGCTTCCTATCATACCCATGCAGCCGGCTTATCAGAGGCTCATCCAAATCCACCTTAAACAGTAGGAAGTGGGTTCTTACTAGAGACAGCTCATCAACCTCTGGGGCCGGAGGCGGCCCCCCCACAACCAAGGCAGTGGGTTTGGGGGAAGGGGTGGGCGAGGTGGAGGTGTGGGTGGGCGCATCCCCCTCTTCCATAGTTCGGAAGGCAGCCAGGCCCATGTCATCTTCCTGTATATCATCCAGCGTCTCGGTGAGAGCTGCCAGCAGCGCTTCATTCTCGCTGTCTATTATCTGAAAGGAGCAGACAGAAAATAGAGAGTGCAAGTTAGAGGTGTGGGAGTGAGCAGGCACTGCTTTGAAGGGACAGCTGTGATGTGCTGCAGGGTTAGACTGTAAGCTTTTTGGGGCTGGGATCCCACCCTGTTTTGTCTTTCTACACGGTGGGGTCCTGGTTCATGACTAGCAGGGAGAGCTCTGAGGTACTACGGCAATACAAGCACCAGTAATAATAAGTCTCGATGGAGAGCCAAGAATCCCTTCCCCAAACAAAGCAATTGGTAACTTTAGATAGAGGTGGAGGTGATCAGGACACCAAGATGTCTCTTGGTAATTACAGATGTTCAAGGTCTTTAATTCTTACTTAGGCCTGGATCATGTTAAGAAAGGGAGAGCGTGGCTGAGCAGGATTCCTCTGGATGTGTATAGTGACAACGGCACTCTCCATGGCTGGTGAGAGGACTCGCAGCTCCCCTTCGGAGGCAGGTAAGGGGCATGGGCTTCTTTATAAAGAAAAGGCACAGCAAAGGATAACCTGTCCAAGGCTACAGAGGAAGTCAGCAGCAGGGATCAGAAGAAGGGTATGCCTGCTCCCTAGTCCTCCTGTGCTTAGCTCCTACAGCAGAAGTATTCCAGCCCCTACTTAAAACAAAAACATTGGTCAGACCACTGGCTGCTTTCTCCATTGAACTGTAGGCTTGGAACAGCAGGAACCCAGAGAAGACTTCCACTGGATGTCCCAGGAGAAGCTCTGTCTGCCTTCAGTAGAGACTGGATCCTCCTAGAACTCCCCCTCCCTGGCTAGGAAAAAGAGATCCCATAGTGGTTGGGGTCTCATGCCCAAAGGAGGGAAACGTGACAGGCCAAATGAGGACAAGGAAGACCTGGAGGTAGGGCAAAGAGAAAAGGACTCAAGACTGAAGTGGCAAAAGGTGACCTGCATGTCAGGAAACTCCTTTATCCAGAAATGACAGGCAGAGAGAGGATGCATGGAGCCAGCTACTTGGGACAGGATCATTAGCCAAGGACAATTACAGGAGTAAGGAACAGGGCTCTTTTTGCTCCCTGTTGGGAGATGGGCTTCTCAAACCACAGTATGGTGGAGGGCATGCCTGGTCTATGGAGACTGCAGGTCACAGCCTGCGATGCTCCCCCTTACAATGAATGGACCAGCCCACCTGCATACCAGCTCTCCTGCATCACAGAGGTTCTCCCTCCATATTTATGAAAGAGGCCTGGTTCTTCTACCCCTTTCACCAGTTATATACCTGTTCACTGACTTCCGTAGTCCTGGTCCTGATTTATACCAGTTAAAGGGGAGAATCAGGGTCAAAAGCTGCTTCAATCAGATCCAGGTTAGTCACATTTATTATGACCTTTTGGCACCCAGCAACATGCCAAGACTGGTCTGAGTGGGGCTAAATTAGGTGCCTCTAGCAAAGCCTATTCAAGCATCAATGAATGTTTCCTTCCAGCTGAGATTTTTCTGCAGGTTTATGATTTCAGCCAAGTTATGAGACTTGTAGTACAATTGCCAGGGAAGACAACAGGGATTCACCCTGAAGGCCTGGCTCTAGTCCCTTCTATTTCCTTCCTTCTGGTGGTTAAGCAAGAACATTGCTCTTCCTCCAAGACCGACTCCAGGTCCCAGGAGCCCCAGGACCAGCTGCTCTGGAGAAATGAGAGTGCGAGTCCAGTGGAGGTGGCAGCAGGTTCATGACTCTGGGGGCCAGGACCCATGGGGAGCATCCAGATGAGCCTGGCCGTGCAGTATATGGCAGTATATGGCACCACAAACATGTCTGCAGTGCCACATACTGCACAGTCTGTTGTTCTCCGCGCTGTAAAGGTGCACTACTCAACCATGCGCTGCTCCAGTTTCTTTTCCATGGGGTTTTTTGACCCCTGGATATCCAGGGGTCAAAAAAAAAACGTGGAAAAAAAATGGAGCAGCACACACTCGGGAAGCATGTGCTGCTGAAAAGCTGAGCTGGGCCGCCCAGAGCCACACTGCAGCTGTTGGCCAGGCTCTGCCCAACAGGATCGCCATAGGTGCAGCCCCAAGAGGCTCTCAAGACCCCAGGTAAGGCTGTTGGGGCCAGCACAGTGCTGGCTAGCCTCCCCTACTGTCCCCAGGGTAACTTGCTGCACACCAAAGAGCACGTGGCATGGACATACCCCAGGGACAAGTAGCTGCAGTGCAAAGTGCGCTGCTACTTGTCCCCAGGGAACCAAATGCCCGCACTTGTCTGGATGTACCCGTGAGTTCTGAATGTCTGGGGTTAAGGTTATGTTGTTGTTCTGCAATACAACACAATGCCATGATGCAATGCCGCTGTGTGGAGAGGTGTCCATGGCCACTGGCTTTAGTAAAACCATGTTCATGAACCTACTAGTTTTTGAGTGTTGTTTCTTCACAGAGAAGACATTAGGGCCACAACCTTTTTCCACCACAGCTCTGATGGTGAACTTCCCCTCTCCTCTGCTTATACCAGTGCTGGGCTCCCACATGCAGCCCTGCTGTTGCACCTCACTCTCTGTCTACAGTCCTGTGTTTCGCACTGTTCCACCCAGAGCTCACCCACAGGCCTGAGGGTCCCTAACAATTCCTCAGCCTGTTGTAACCAACTGTTCAAACTGAAGGCCAAATACAGGGCAGAAACACTAGACAGAAGAAAAATGTGATGGAAGGTGCATTTCTCTTTGCTTATTTCATGGAATGTTCCCAATTATGAATAATTTATCACAGTAAAAAGATAATAGCAGATAAGCTTTAGGTACAGGGATGAATTGGGGTCTACAAGGAGGACCAGCTGAAAGGAATATGGGCTAGGCATTTGCTAACAGTGATCTATGCAAGAACCTTTTTACTTCAGACCTTCAACCCTGCTTGCAGTTATGACAGCAAGAGACAAGGCATCAGGGCGGTCCACTGTTGGCCCTCTCTATTTTCTGCCTATGACTGGCCGGAGCTTAGTGTGCGTGCAAGTTCAGTGGGATACATTTCAAGTCCTGCTCACTGTTTGCAGGCCCATCTTTCACCTCTCTCTTCTGTTTCTCTTCACCCCAGGAAGCTCAAGAGAAAATATGCATCTCGTGATGAGGAGTCATCAGCTCTTCTGGACCCTTTTCAAGCACAGCACCAGTACATTATCAAAGTGCAATGGGAACAGTAGAAAATACTGGGGCTTTTTCCATTTTCTTTTTTTTATTAAAGTCTCCAACAAATTTAACCAAGCAAAGATCGACCACTGGCTGCTAGTGGGCATCAGTGAGCTAGGCTCCCTTTGCTAAAGGGTGATGAGAGCAGTTGAGAGTCGTTTCCCAGGCACAGCTATCAGCTAAGGGAATGGGATGTGGCATGTTGAGGTCACAGACACAAGAGAGGATACTGAAGAGGTTAGATGCCAGCCTGGGAGGTGGAAGATCCAGATTCAGTTCCTTGCTCTACTGTAGAAACCCTGTGTGAGCTCTGACAAGCCACTTGTCTAAGCTGTGCCTCAGCTTCCCAGCTGTGAAAGAATGATGACTGCACTTCCTGATGTAAGGTGCTCCAACACTCAGTGGTGGGGCCAGACAAGCATCACAGACTGACCAACAGGTACTGACAGGAGGGAAAGGGACAGGGTGCCCATTGTTGTTCCCACCCTCACCCACATCTGGAGTTGGCACTAGTAACCTACTGCCATGATCCCAACCTTTGCTGCAAAATGCCAGTGGTAGCAGTGCCCACAGTGTGACAGGTGCTGCCAGGGAAGTCACAGCCCCTGTCCCAGAGAGATCATAATGCCTCTCTGGCCACCTGCAACAGCAGAGCTAGTCCCTGGTGCCACTCCATGTCTTAGCCTGTCCCTGCCCTTCCCTCTTCACTCAATACAGCTCCTCCCTCCTCACTTCCTTCCTGTTCCATGTGGCAATCCAAGAACAAGGTCCGTTTGCTTCCTAACTGCAAATGTCAACACTGGGGATAAGAATAATCCATCTTTCATTTTCTTTTCTTTAAAAAAGCCAGCACTTAACACTGTTGCTTTCCCTGGATTGCACATGCCAGCCACTTTAAAGGGGCACCAGAGTTGGGGTTTGATAAGCACTCATGCTGGTTATTCCCTCTAATGCCACCCGCCAGTGCTTCTGCCTGAGGGGCCCGGAGCAGAACGCTGAGCTTGCATACTGCCAACCCCCCCGGGCTGTGATGTCAGATACTGAGAAGAATCTGAGCTGGGACCCCAAATCCAGAGACTCCCCAAAAGGTTGATGAAGTGGGGATCTGGATTTGGACCTGGATCCAAACGTTGTGACTTGAACCCAGCTCTGTTCTGTAAGCACCGTGTTTATTCATGACCACTGATGTGGGCACATGTGCCTGTCAGTGTGCACATTGACCACCAGGATCTTTTCCATGCACTGGCACAGAGATACATGATATGGGGATAAAGATTAGTGTGAATGCCGCTCTCCTCAATCATAGACCCCAGAGCCTTTTACTGGGTGGGGCAACCTCTATCTGTGAGGGAGACTGAGGCCAGGCAAAGCTGCCTGCTAAGGTCACATAGAAGCCAGTGGCAGAGCTGGGCAAACCACCAGGTCTGTCACTCAGGCCTGTGTCCAACCCCTGAGACCAAGCCGGCTCTCCATGCCCCATCATGGAGTCTGCTTGCAGGGCTGTCTGAGGTAGTAGGCAGGCTTTCACTGTCCACCTTGCCAGCGCTTGGCTGAGCGCAGATTGGGCTATTGGTGAGCTGCAGGCAGGGCTATTTTGAGAGCGGCTCATTGAGAGGGAGCCTCCGCTATAAATAAACGTGTGCGCAGAGATGCAGAGGTGATGCTGAAGCTGGAGAGGCTGATAAAAGGGAAGGTGCTTTGTGCGTGCTGGCAATTAACATTCCTGTGCCATGCCACTCCGTGCCGCCGCGGCTGAGCCTCTCAGAAACTGCCGCCGCCGCCCCAGCACAAGCTGTCAGATTCCGAATCAAACAGGATGCACGAGGCACTATCCTGTAATTTCCTTTTAATAATACATCACAGGAGGATTGGCTCAGCAGCCTTCTTCTATTCTTCCACCTCCTCATTAGCCTTACTCCGCTTGCTCCATTTAGAAATGGAGTGCAAATTAATGGAGTGCTAATCAGCTGGGGAAGAGATATTAATAGCCTGAACCCCCTCCCCACCCCACCACCTCTTCTCTACTTCCCCACACTGAGCCAGGAGAAGGAGGGGGAAAAAGTCACTGCCACCTGATGAGGAATTTCAGGGCTAGTGGTGCTAGGCAGCAGAAGACCCAATTGTGGCCTGCATTGCAGGGCTGTCCTGGCCCCAGTGGGCTGTGCACGCAGCAATTCTAAGTACATAGCTGCAGACGGCCTTGTGCTGACAGTGCTCACTCCAGCCTGCGGGTCTTAAGGAATTTGCTGCACCCATCCATGTGAAAGCAAATGGGACTTCAACACCTCCTGGTCTGCCTGGCAGGGCCCATCTGAACAGTTTGAAGAGAAGACAGGGCCTCTCGGAGACTGCTCCTGAACTAGCACCTGATCCAAAGCTCCCTAAAATAAACAGGAGGCTTTTCCATTGGCTTCAGCCGATTCAGAGATAAGGGCCAGAGCGCAGATTAGCCCCACATTGCTCTGCAGTCCTTATGGCCACCTTTGGCTAGACTAGGGGCTCACATGCCCACCCTGCAGAGATGTGTTCCCTTTGAGTGCCCATCAGTGAGCTCCCAGCAGGTTTTGTGGGTGGGGAGGAGGGGGACTCAGAAGGAAAGATGTGCCCTAGAGCAGCAGTGCCTCTTTATGGCTTCTCTCTTGGGGCAAGGAGCTTGGCAGGTTACAGTACCTGTAAGAGCTCGGAGTCATCTGTGCTGTACTGGCTGGACTCGGTCTCGGAGTGCTCGGCGCACCATTGCAGCTCGCTGAAGCAGCTGGCAGAGTCAAAATCACCAGCGTCCAACTGGGACAAATCAATCTCGGGGAAATCGGAGTACAGGTGTTCCTCGCCAGACACTTCATACTGTAGAGAGAAGAGAGGGGGTGAGCCCGGCTGTCTTCTCCTCTGCCTGCTGCCCCAAGGAAAGCCCAAAGAACATGACTCTCAAAAGGCCCATCTGTTACACACCAGCCAGGTCATGTCCAACTCAGGGCCCGACCTTTGTCCAACCAAGGACTGCCTTGGCAACCTTCCCAGAGCCCAAAGACAACACTTCATCTAAAAGGAAGATTTCTACAGGCTTTTACTTTAATATGGGGGTGCATCCTCAGACAAGCTCCAACCTTCAGTGCTCCATCCTAAACCAAGTGGCTCTTGAGGCACTGAGCTCTATTTGAAAACGGAGAGCAACAGTGGAAGGCATCCAGGCATCTTATGAGTCAGATTTACCCCAAGCAGAGCTTGCTGGCACCCAGTGGTGTGTAGGTCAGTGTGGAACAATGGTGCGCAGCCTTTGGCAAAGGCGCACAGCCTTTGGCAACGGCACACAGCCTTTGGCATAGCAGTAAGGCAGTACCTGTTCATTTTGCACTTTACAGATCAAGTGGCTGCAGCTGCACCTGCACCATTTGAAATCCACCTCAAAAACTTCAGCAAGTTACCCAGCAACTCAACCACTGCCTCCTGCAGCGCTCCTCTGCCGGAAGCTCCACTGCAGGTGCGCCAGCCTGGCAATGAGGTGGAAAATCCTCGTCCTGCTTCACGAGCACGAGCGAGCTCAGAGCACTGCAGCCCAGACACTGACATAGCAGCTGGCTGTGCTCTTAGGGAAACTTAAGCCACTTTAGCCTCCAGTGGCAGAATGCAGACATTCAAGGCTTTTCCTACAGCTCTGAAAGTCAGCAGCTAGGGAGGCAGGCAAGAGACTTTGAAAGTGCACAAAGTAACCATGCACTGGCCAAGACTTGTGTATGGACAGCTTTAGAGCTAGACAGGCTGGCTTTTTCATTTCCCCAAACACCTACTGCCCGCCTCTGCCCTTCCATGTCTTCCAGCTTGAACTCCATCACCCCTCAACTGCTGCAAAGCCAAATGACCCACTCCCAAAAATTACCCAACAGGCAGTTACAATCCTTCTGTAGAAACTTGAGCCCAAGTTCCTCTGAAACTAAGTCACTGAGAAGGCAATAAAAATAATCCAGTTCCTCATCTCTTTCTATCATGTCTGCCCTCCCCCCTCCACACACGCACACTCAAAGGAAAAATAATAGTGGAGAAAGGAATCAATGTCTGGAGCACACAGGGCAATCTCAGCTCTGGGAACGGAGCTAAAAATATCCATTTAATCACGAAAAGCAGCTGAGACCTGCCCCGTTTCTGCCTCCTTCCTGATGGCTGTCTTGCATTAGGTTGCGTGGCCCTCCAAGAGACAGAATAAACGATTGCATTGAACGCTGGCACAAGAGGAAGCTCAAGTGACTGAGGGCCTGGCCCCCATTGACCCTGCACCGTTGCCCTACTAGCTGGAGACCGTGTGCGTGTGCCAGGTGCTGACAGCGAGGGCCAGGAATGACCACAGTGAGGGGAGGGGGGGAGTCACTCCGTGTGAAAAGTGGCCTCAGGCGAGCATTAATTTGAAACCCTGTCATCTAGTCTGCGTGCCTCAGTGGATGTACTCGGGAAGGGTACATAGAGAGGCGTCTCTTCATTAACAACAAGGCCGTGCTATCCCCAATACTCCACAGCCTGCAGGGGTGGTCTTGCTCACACTGAGTTATATGGGAAATTGGCCAGGGGGTGAAGCAGAACAGTGTGAATTTAGTGCACCTCATGGCTGCCTTCTTCAACAGCCCTGCTGGCCTCTGACTAGGCACTGCACCAAAGCTGACATCCCGCCCGCTCTGCCCCCTGCAAACAGGCCTCCCTCCGAACTGCGGGAGGCTGCACCCATCTATCTCCACGTTGTGCTTACACTCGTGCTCTGCCTCTGCCAAACCCAGTGGCACAACTTCCAGTGACTTCAGGTGATCAGGGCCTCAATTCTTTCCTTTTGAGTAGAGGCCACCCATTCATTTCATACCAGTCACTACAGAGGCTTTAGTTTAGTTGGTAATTGCTTCTGTCTCTCCTAATTACCAGGTCTGGGATTCAAATTCAGAGGTGAAAGGCAGGATGCAGCTCTTTCTGTGCGGAAAAACATCCCGGGTGCTGCTTGTGATCGTTATGAGAGAACCTCTCCCTCTTCCTCTCTTTTAATTGAGATAATCTGGGATTATTGGTTGCATCTCCTGAGGCTGGGGAAACAAGACTGCCTGTGCTCTCTGTGCTTCCCAGTCTGGTTTAGGACACTGTGGCCATGTCTACACGAGACACTACTGCACAGGCATTGTAAACAAGTACTAAATAAATAGGCAGTAACCCGAGTTACTGTGCAGTAGCACCGGCAAATGCCTTTTTGTGATGTTACTGCACAATAGCCTAACACTACTGCACAGTAGCATCGCATCATGGTTTTTGCCACCTGGTGCTACTGCACAGTCAGTGTCTCATGTAGATGTGCCCAGTGTTCCCAAACTACATTAAAACCCACATTATTCCCCTCAGAAGAAGGGCAAGAAAAGGGCAAGTGGTCTGGGTGGCACTGAAGGACCGTTCTGACTGGTTCCTCAGCGCCAGGCCCTGGGGCATGGGTGCCTTACAGCATGGACAGACCCTGGCTTAACAAAGCTCAATGGATCTATAAACTGAGCTTCAGGCAGTTGCTCTCTTTTTGCTCAATGCAGGGCAAAATACGGATAAGCAACAGAAAAAAGGACTGATTCCCAGGCTCTGAATGCATTCTCTCCACTGTCTTTCCTGCTGCATGTCTTTCCCGGTGAAGCTAATAATGGGTGTTTCAGTATCGTAGTTCTTTACAAGTCTCGAGTTAAAACCTTATTACCCTAATGGAGCCGGTAAGTCTCACTCAAGTAGTAAAGAAAACAGGTCTGGGCCTCTTGCAACACCTCTGATGTTCTCCTCCAGACTCGGTAGGGAGGAGCCAGCACACACAGCACACCGCATCAGAGATGCTCAACAAGGACACCAGGGTAAACACAGGAAGGGCTACTGAATCTTTAATGTTCATGCAGGCCTGAAGGGCCTTGGTTTTTAAATCTTTGCCTGGAAGATGTTGTGCGCAGCAAGCCGCCCCAAATTTATTTACAAGGCTCTAAGACAGTGATTCTCAACCAGGATGATGTGAGACCCTTTCAAGGGTGATGTGGCATGCGACGCAATGTTAGCACTGTTAGGTGTACAAACATGATTCACAATGTAAACCCAGAGGATTTAAAACCATTCTACCCCATTATGGGCTGAGTTCTTGGCAACAGGGGAATTGCTCTGTTATTTTTCTATAGTCAAAAAACGAATAAGAGTAAAAGCTGGCATTTTCTGAGGAGCCCTTAGATCTAATGAGAGGTGTCTTGAGTCTGAAAAGGTTGGGAACTGCTGCTGTAAGGGCTAAGTCAAACCTGCTAGGATCTGGTACAATGTGCCCACAGAGTCTGGAGGTTACTGACTCAAAGCTCCGTGGTAAATGATCTGTGCCTTGCAGCTTTCAGTTCAGGAGGCAGCCGCCCCTGCGGAGCAGAACAGTGCGCTTCAGAGCACCACTTTGCTGCCAACAGGATTTAGTTCTCTGCACTCCTATACTTCCATGGATATGATGCCCTGCCTTTACCCTAGTTTTCCCTCCCCCTGTCCCTTTCTGCACCTTCCGCTTTGGGATGGATACTGCTTAGCTCTGGGGTTGTGTTGCCCTTTCAGACTTTGCATTCTTCCATCACCTGTTGCAGCATGATCTTCATTTTCCTCCAACAACCCTTGTGCCTACCCTAGAAATGTCTAGCAATTGCTCTCACTGCCCCAAACCCTCAAATCTTCCCATGGGAACAGAAGCATTTTATTTTTAGAAACCCTTTACACACACACACACACATGCACATACACACATGAGACACTCACACACACACACGCAACATTAAAAAAAAAAGCAAAACAAGTCAAATTCTCCTGCTGTCTTTGATATGCCATGAGGGAAAAGATCTTGGTGCTAAGATCACAAGCAGCAGCTGACACCAAACTTGGGACGTCTTTTGATCTTTTCTACAGACATGACATCTTCCCCCTTGCCAGCAGAGCTGTATAAAAATAAACTCCTGCTATCTAATGCCTCCTTGGGCTGCTGAGCTGTCCACCTGGTACTCAAGCGAGAGGGAATGTGGTCAGTGACCTGCCACAGCCAGGCAATCTGAAACCTATGCCAAAGGACTTGACTGGAGAGCCTTAGTTCAGTTGCCAGGGAATATGAGACCCAAGCAACCACTGGGGCTAGCACTGTGGCTGGTGATCTCAACAAAGAAGCCAGGGGGTCAGTCTCACACTGTCAGGGAGCTTTCCTCTCTAGATCAGGGTTGAGCATGCATGGTAGCATAAAGGGGGCTGAAGAGAAGCTAGTATTGCCCAAGTAGGACCAGCTCTACTAGTGGAAAACTTCAGTCTCCAGGGGATATATCAAGTCTAGTCCTTTTGTCTAGCATGCAGTGTACTTGAGCAATAAGAAAAGGATAACATCTTAACAGCTTTCCATAGAGTTTGGGAACCAAAGTATTTGCAGGAGGACAAGTGATGGGATTTCCAGTTCTTCCTTTTGTCCCTGTCATGGGCAAGAGTCTGATAAAAGCAGGACACTGGTCAGATGCCCAGTTCTTGGCTGGTCTAGCCTTCCCATTCCCAAACTGTGCATTTCCCTGACTTGGGGCAGGCATGAACTTTGTTCTAATTTTACTTGGGAGTTTGTAAGGTTTTCTACCTGCAGCATCTGGGTGTGAGACCAACAAATGTCCCCAGAGGCTCCTGCAGATTCTGGGTCACATGTACCAGAACCTCACGAACTTGCCAGGAGCTTTGAGATATAGCCATTTCCTTTTTCAGACATGCAGGGGAAACCCAGATGCTCCCACCCCACTGTAGAGGCACTAGCTGGTGGGTGGGGATGTCCACCAGGCTGTTATAGGGACAGCAACCAAGGGACCACAAAGAGCCTTCCAAAAAGATCGGATCTGTAATTTCAGTGGATCATATGCCACTAACTCTAAGATGGCATCCATGGCTTTCTTTAACTCATGAATCTTCTTGCATCCTCAGTCCTGGGAAAAGAGACATCACAGTTATTAACTAAAGAGGGTGAAGAAAATGTTGAGAGGTACACACTTGATGCAGAGTGCTTCCCTTCAGTAGAGACATCAGCTACTGGGACACTGAAATTGTTATTAATTTACTGTTAAACACTGACAGCACTTCCCTGCTGTGAGGAGCTTCAACTTAAACAGGGGACAACACAGAACACAGTGGCAAACTCAGAGAAACTCGCTCTCAGAGCTCTGGGATTGCTCTTCCAGGTCTAAGCAGGGGGTGATGGGATTATAACAGATTAATGCTACATGTTCTGGGGAAAGACTTGAAAATCTAAGCTCTGCTTTGATGCATCCCTTATGCACGTGGCATGGAGTGCGGGATCTGTCCCTGCAGGGGATCCAGCCTACACAACTTCACAACGGAAACAGGACAAGGCTCACAGGTTAGTCTAGTCTTGCCACATAACAGCCAGTACTAAAGCCAGAGGGAGAGTTTTAGTGGCTTCTCAGGGGAAGGATTTCCTCCCCCGTTTTGGGATTGTTGTTTAAAACCTGTAGTCCCAAACTGCCCTAAGCTGACACAGCTCCACTGATTTCAGAAGGGCTCCAGCAATGGCCCTCAGCAAATCTGGCCCTCACACTTTTAATTATTTTGATAGTATCTCTTTCTAGCAGGTCATTTCTCCCACACCCCACATACTATGGTAGAGACAGGTGCTAAGCTGACTAAAAAAAACCCTGCTAATGCCAGTTGTCCTTTCAATCTTCTAGGTGCAGTTAAGTAAGAGAAACCAACTACAAAGCTTGTTCCCTGCCTGAAAGCATTCACCTGCCATTTTGCGTGTTCCTAAAGAGAAAACCAGTCCTTGGTATAACTGATGTTGGAG